CTGAGCGCTTGTGCCCCAGGCATGGTTCTAGGTGTTTCAGGTGTATTATTAGCTCATTCAAGTCTCATAACCACCCACTGAATGTTCACTATCACCAGCCCCTCTGGACTGAGGAGAAAATACGTCTGGAGAGGTTAAGCAACTCTCCCAGGGATGTGGAGTCAGCAAGGAACAAAACAGTGCCCTTTGCTGTTCAGTTCAGAACTCGTGCCCCTGTCACTCTGCAGTTCTGCCCGCTGCTAGCTGACCAGCCTGGCACTGCTGTCATACCCCTCTCCATACTGCTACTTCCCCAGTAGGAAAACTGGGCGTTTTGCACAGTTGGAGACACTAACGAGTTACACATAATCCACCATTACGATTATAGTGTGGACTGGTGTGGATTTCAGTGAACCTTTCCTGACTTACAAAATTCACTATCAGCAGTTGATTTCACGTGAAACTTCAACAGTATGAAATCTTGCCTGTTAGATCAACTTTTACGATCACATTAAAGGAAGGCGGAGAATTAACTCCCACACTCAGCTCAGATGCTGATAAAGAGGTAAAGAGTGACTTGGTGAGGAAGGGGGTATCAGATACAGAACAGATACCAGGAAGTTTGACTTTCATCTTTCCAGGGCCAAATATTCAGAGAACCCAAAGCAGTTTGGGAATGTTAGACAAAGAATACAAATCCCAAGTGAGGTACTATATTCTCACTAATCAGGATTGTATAACTAAAAATACTTAGTGCCACTAAGTGAATTTATCTAATATGTTACAAACCCTTGGATATATTGAATTAAAGACCATGGCTGTAACACAGTATCCTTCATAACAATAGCAATAGTAGTAGCAACTACACAACTACTTAGGGTTATTGTGAATCTGGATGGTGCTTTATTGAGTTTTCTTATTTAACATTTAATAATCCTGTGAATTCACTGCTATTACTTCCATCTCCATAGATGATAAAATTGAGAAAAAAAGGATTAATTATATTCACAAAGTTATACAACCAGCAAGCATCATTTATTCAATATTTACTGTAGATACCTGCCACAGATGTGCTACTTCTGTTGTAGGTAACAGAGAACTAGCAATGAGTAAAACAAAGTCCTCACCTTCATAGAAGACTTCAGATTTTATTTTATTTATTTGTGTTTGAGACAGTCTCACTCAGTTACCCTGGGGTTAAGTGCCATGGCATCATAGTTCACGGCAACCTCAAACTCGTGTCTCTCAAGTGATTCTCTTGCTGCAGCCTCCTGAGTGGCTGGAACTGTAGGTGCCCACCACAAAAGCTGGCTGTTTTTCAGAGATGGGGTCTTGCTTTTGCTCAGGCAGGTCTCAAAACTCCTGAGCTCAGGCAATCCACCAGGCCAATCCACTGCCTTGGCCTCCCAGAGTGCTGGGATTACAGTTAGGAGCCACGGTACCTGGTCAGACTTCATCTTTTATGAGGGAGCTTGACAACAAACATGGCAATATGAGAGTGCTGGGATAAGGTACTGGTATGGACGTTTTCACTCTTTTATTATACAGAGTAGTGAGGGCGACCTCTTCGGTAAAGGGACATTTCAGCAGATACCTGAGAAAGAGGAGCGGTTTATAGGAAGAATGTTTCTGGAAAAGGAGGGCAGAGGTCCTGGGCTTGAAGTATGGGACAGATGATCTAGGGTCCACGTATGTGGAGTGGGTGAAGGGGGAATGGTGGGAGCCTCATCTGATGGGGCCACCACGGCATTACCTCACCTGCTGTGATCCTGGGACATCCCGTCTTAGGGAGAAATACATTCGATGGAAAAGAGGACAGTGGTGACATTCTAGCCTGAAAGTTCTAGGCTGAGATGAGACTGTGTGAGAAATCCCTGAGGTCTGAGGAGAGCTGCTTTTGAGAATAAAAACAGGGAACGATTATATGATAATTTGGGAAAGCTGGGGCTCCTCGCTGCTCTGGCCGGGTATCCTCATTGCTCTGGTTGGGGCTCCTCACTGCTCTCCCCGGGGCTCCTCACTGCTCTCCCCGGGGCTCCTCGCTGCTCTCCCTGGGGCTCCTCACTGCTCTGGTTGGGGCTCCTCGCTGCTCTCCCCGGGGCTCCTCGCTGCTCTCCCCGGGGCT